GCAACCAATGTCTTTCTTTAGTTCAATTCAAGTACTTCAATTTTCAAAGCGTAGAATTTGATCCCAAACTTTGTGGGTCGCATTGCATTTTGAATCCCCGAATGCATTATCTAAGAGCTATGAAGAAAAAGTTGAAGCAATTCTCGCCCTCCGTCTCAATAAAAAATATCGAATCAGGATTAGTTTTTTCCATGTTATGGCAGTCGAGCCCAATAAATCCTCCAATGTGCATTCTTTGGCTTTCTAGGCATTTTGGTAGCTCATGACCACTATGTATTCTCGATTGATGTCGTTAATGATGTTTGAAAGTTTGTAGATCATTCGTAAATCCTGATACTTGTGCATTATCTGTCGATCAATAAACTATGCTCAAGTTTGTCTGCGATCGTTTCGACGAATTTTCACTTCACAAGTATATTCCTGTGTATATTTACGAACCACAAATAACTTATTTGTGTCAATCTTAGTTGCTCGCAAGCGTCAACAGCAACTGTCGTCGACGCAAATAATCGTCAATAATGACTTGTTTGATTTCTTTACCGTGAACTCAAAGTTATTTTTTAATGTTATCCGGTGTACAACTTCCTACAAATTTTTCTTTGTTTCAAAATGATTGCTTGACATACAAATCCTCATTATCGGAACCACACGCGAAGAATTAGAAGACGGTCCACTCAGTCCAGCCCCTAAGCTCCCACTCCGCTCGTGTTTGTGACAAGATAAAACAATCAAATTCTCATTTGTAAATTCATTTTCATTCTAGTTGTCATGAACTACCAATGAAATTCTGTTCGTAACAGCGACTGTTTTAGGAATACCCACATCAATACTGTTTTAGGAATATCTCCCAAAATTCATTGACATTATCATTCGCTCCATCCGAATCTTCATGTTCACGTTCAGCGATATCTTTCCCCATTAAAATCACACATAGAGGAGTCATGTGCATTTTGTTCAAGCATTAGAAGTAACTTTCATAGGTGGAATCAAAATGGACGAATGTTCAGCATTAGAAGTAACTTTCCAGCATACGATGTAATCTCTGATATGGAAATCGGAATACTACCATGTATATTACTCGTCCATTTTCATACCCATCGATCTCTTATTCCAATTCAAAATCATAAAAGTAACAAATTAGAATTACAATCATATCTGCATCACGTGACAAAATTTTTAATTATAAGGAAAAATAGTCAGAAATTTGGATCAACCTACTGGAAAAAAATTGAGTTTTTTTTTTTTTTGAAGTGTAACAGTCGGCTAAGCTGGCTATCCGAAACAACCAACCGTTCTGCCAGCTGTGGCTATTAACAGCTAGCTGTTTCAGCTGGAACCTTCGGTGGCAACATGTAGATGAGTTTTTTTCTTATTCATGATTAAAAAATTATAGACCTGTTAAAAAAATTGCTACATGTATTAAATATGTCAAAATAAGATTTATCAATTAAAACATATATTAATCTAACGAAAATGAAATTAAACATACGTAAATACACTTACCAATTCGAAATGATTAATATAAAAAAATTATTTCTTGCTCAACGTTTGATAAATTACCGAGATTTTGAGATCGAAGGAGATGAAAGATGAAAGAAATTTTATCTGTGTTGGAATAAACAGATGAAAAAATTATCTGATTTTGAAGTTTTAAGTAGGAAATGTTTGATTTTAACTTGTTAACTAAAAGAGTAATAATGTCGTTTAAATAAAATAATATTTTGTAATTGTATTATATATTTAACGACATTTTATCTTTTGACAATCAAGAGGCCATTGTAAAACTATTTAATTGTTCAAAAGTCCAAGAAAATTTAGCCCTTGTTTGAACTCTATTTTTGCCAAGAAAATACATTTTAAAATAGTGTAATGATATGAGATGTGTGGTTAAAAATAAAGAAAAGTTTTAAATTTACGTGTAATAATATTTTATTGAAAAATATGTGATTAAAATAATGTCGAAATACTGTTTAAAAATATTTTTTTTTTTCAAAAAAATTGTACTCAAACAAGGGCTTACTCATTTGATCAAGCCAATTTTAAAATGCCCTTAAAAATGTAGCCCCGAGAAACGAAGAAAAAGGGTTTGCCGAAATGGGGAGAAGAACATTGAACGATGCCTTGAGAACCATCGTGAACGCCGAAAAGAGAGGCTTCGCTTCGGCGGAGCTTAAGCCCATCTCTAATGTCATGGCTTCTTTCCTTCAAATCATGAAATACCGAGGTACACGTATACATGTGCATCTATATATGTATGTATTTGTTATGTATATGTTCATTGATTTGTGATGTTTTCAATCAATGACCATGTTGTAAAATTGTTTATAAGCAAATGGGTTGGAATTAATTTTTTTACAATTTCTTGCAGTTTTTTTTTTTTTAAATTATATAAAGCTTGTTTGTATATAAAGTGTGCATATATGTACGGTGGATATATAATCGCTTATCCGTGTTGTGTCTTTTTAATTGATCTCAAAGATGAATTATAGCGAAATGGGTTTTGATTTTTACTTGTTCCTAAAAGATGGGCAAACGAAGAAGTGTGCACTGATGGATAAATAGCAGGGTATATCAAGGATTTCCAAGTGCATGATCCACATAGAGTGGGGAGGATAACTGTGGAGCTGCTGGGGAGGATTAATGATTGTCGGGCTATCACTTATAGACAGGATATCAAGGCTCATAACATCAAGAATTACAAAACAGACACGCTTCCTACTCATCAGGTTCTCTATTCATTGTTCTTGCCTTTGGTTTTATTGTGCTGATTGTTGTTGGGGCTGATCTGGGAGGGGGGATGATAAGTAGTGAACTGTGGTTTAATTTAGAATTTTGAGGATTTTGGTTGTATTTCTTGAGTTGAATCATCAGTCTAACGTGAACAAGTTCGATTTAATTTACTGCAAAACTCTAGATATGCCCAAATATGGCGTGTTTGAAAATTCCAAATCTTATTTTGTCGATGCACTAAAATTTTATTGATGATAAATTGTGTTATGTAAATTCAAACTAATCTATTCTAAATAATGTTTGCAAATGTGCAGTGTCATGGTTTCTCTATCTTAGTGCTATCTTTTGGTTGTAATTAATTAGGTTAGGTGTATTATCCTTTAAATTTTTTGTCGTAGAATGTGATTGGATGGTCAAACAGATTGTTTGGCTTTTTATTGTCAAGTTTATGTATCAAATTACAAAGATAGCTATTAAATCGTTAGCACTACATAAATACATTCCTCTTAAAGAAGCTGTTAATACAAATAAGAGAAACTCTGTTATAGCCATTTCTGTATATTCAAATTTAAATATACTCTATGGATAGAGGAATACGTAGAGTTGAACATAGTAAAATAAGATGTTCCGATCAAGATAATGCTATAAATGTGCCAAAAATTGTCTATCCTCCTGCTTTTTATAATTCACATGCATTGAAGGATTGAGCTTGTGAGTTATGAGACACTGATCCACCTGACTGGTTACTTACAGTGTCAGCAAATAGTGCAAGTACTCCCTATAACACGGTCTTCAGAAGTTTAAGGCTAGCTTATTGAAATTTATTAAACTAAGGCACTAGTAGTTGGGACTTCATGGAGAAGTACAGACAACATTTTATTTGACACCTCAGCGCTTCATATACGATTGCTATGTTAAACAACTCTTGCCATAAATATCTATGCATATCATGTTATGTTACCTTGAGTTTAAACTTTATGGCGACTAATGGGAATTAGTAAATATAGAATATAAAATAATTGGTTTGGGTGTATACATATTTCTTGTAAGTCAAGAAGAAAATTGTCCTAAAATTACATAAATGATGAATATCTAAGTTGCAAGGACATGTCGACTTACATTGTTCAAAATTTTAATTTTAATGAAAGATCAGCATAAAATCGTTTAATTTATTCGTCTTCTACTATTTTTCTCTTAAGCAGTGAAGAGAACTTAATGTGAAAACTGCGATAAATGTAAATGTATGTAGATTAATTCATACAGGTAACACAAATTTAAATTGATTTCATAATTGATGGTAAAGTTGTGTAGATAAACTCATGGGTACAAGCGGAATGTAAATGGACGTCCAGAATTGACAGTCAATAAATATAGATCAACTCATATGCGAAAAATATGAATGCAAATGGAATTCCAGATCAATTCATAGGGAACAGAAATTTATTTGTCCTCTCCTTATAAGTAAAATAAGCAAGCACCCAAACATGTTCCGGATCAAATGTATTGCTTTATAGTTTCCTTTCATCACCTTTATTATATAAATTTGTTACATTTATAAATAGTTGTCGTGTACTTGCAGAAGGTTACAGAGCAAATCAGTAAGACAATAAACTTTGTAATTTTCAGTTATACTTATTATTGCATAGTTCATGTCAACCACAAATTATGATAATGTTAATTCAATACTTTAACTTTTTGAAAACTTAAGGTTACAAACGGAGATAAATTTGAGATTCTTTGTCACATTATTCGTCAAAGTATAATTCCCTCTTTTTAATTATTGAAACAACAATTACCATAATTTTGGCTCAAAAGCTAGAGAGTCATGCTTTGTGTACTCTCCCCTAAGACCTCGGAACTATTTTTTTTAATCTTAAAATTAGTATTTGGAGTGCTTTACCACTCTGTTGTGAGTAAGACATGGAGTCCATGAAGCTAATTTTAGACTGTCATTGTATCGTGTCCATTTTTTCTTTTCACTTGAGCTGTCGTGGTTGTCTTTTGATAATGATTCATTGAGGAATTCCTTACACGCTCAAGTTCATTGAACACCCATTTACCTTGTCTCTGTTCTTCTCTTCGTGCAGTGGGGCTATGTGGTAATTACTACACCAAATGGAGTTTTGGATCATGAAGAGGCAATTAGACAAAATTTAGGTGGTCAAGTTCTGGGGTACTTTTATTAAATTTAGGGCCATGGCGTAAGCAAAGAACGACTTCCAATTTCCCTTTGGTTTTGTACATTTATTTGCTTGCTATGAGATCATGGAAGAACTATGAATGTCCTCGAAGCTTTCCTTGAAATGTCCTCAGGGAATGGTTTTGTACATTTATTTCCTTGCTACGAGATCATGGAAGAACTTTGAATGTCCTCGAAGCTTTCCTTGAAATGTCCTCAGGGAATGGTTTTGTACATTTATTTCCTTGCTACGAGATCATGGAAGAACTATGAATGTCCTCGAAGCTTTCCTTGAAATGTCCTCAGGGAATGGTTTTGTACATTTATTTCCTTGCTACGAGATCATGGAAGAACTTTGAATGTCCTCGAAGCTTTCCTTGAAATGTCCTCAGGGAAAGACACTGGTGGTAATCATTTGTATGTCTTTGGTGTATATGAAATAACATTTCATTTGGAAACTCAAACAAGACTATTGCTACATTTTGGTTTTCCACCTGTTAGAATAGAGTTAAGATGACTTTTAAAATTCTTCTGTTAATGTTCGTCTGGTTCTTATCCAATTAAACGGTTGAAAGATGAACTTGTAGTTCGTAGGAGCTTTGTGCCATTTTGTTACAATTTGCTGCTATTGCATTGATGTCTGCTTGATGAAACTACTGTTGCTTTTTAGGTCTGACTAACATGATTTTGATTCTCTCTCTCTTTTTTTCCCTCTATTTATTTTTTATTTTTTTGGGAATATCATGTGGGTGCTACAAATCCATTTATATTTCTAGTTTTTTTATAGAACAATTTTTATGATTTGAAGGAAAAAATATTTAACAGAAGAAAAGTGAGCGAGTGAAAGTCCTCTTACAAAATTCTTTCGACAAATATTTTATCGTTGCTTGCGAAGATACCATATTCAGCAAATATAGTCGTTTATGTGGCAACTATTACATGAGAATATTGATTCTTTTCTACTACCATTGAGTAGGACGCATGAAAATCGTCCAAAGTAGCATAGTAACAATTTAGCAATGTAACATTGCACTAGTACATTACAAAATATGTTGATTGCTTCACACTTTCACAGTACAATGTACTAGTTAGAAATAGAGGGTTATTGAGAAGAGAAACCATGATCACAAGTTCAATTAAACCCGAAGAAACAGAAAAAATTTAGCCAGATAGACATCATGGACGGGTAGAAAGACTAGTTCCTGTAGGTAAGTATGAAATTTATTACTAGTGGTGAGAATAGTTATGCTATAGGGACAAAATGCTTGACAAAATTTTCACAGAGGAACACTCGGAAGTTTTTCATAAATTTTCGGCACAATAATAAAAGAAAATGCACCATACAGGTGCGAATAATTCCCAGTACGCAGGGAGTCATTCTAGTGCGAAATGTCAGTTTCCTATTGTCCCATATGACACGGAAAAAATTTGCTTGTAAACCGGTGAGAATTCTTTGTGCCATTGTCGTAGGATCTATGACGACAAGGAGTCCACAAATTCATGAACTGCAACTTGTCATAGAAAAAAAGAACCACCAAGTTTCACAAGACAATCCCATTACCAAACAATACTGCAGATAACAGATACTGGGTACATCGCAAAATCCACAATTCTTGATACCAGAACTTTAAAGGAGAAAGAGTAGCCGGATTAAACACGATCTACTTAAACTTCTACTGTTTAAAAGCATCATATATAAACAGCATAATAAAAGGAGCATATAGGTATGCTATAGACGGGCTTAGCACTAGAAAGATGAGAAGTGGGAGATATGAAAACAGTGAAAAACCAAATTTCTGATATCCAGATTTGTCCTTAAGGGAATTGTTTGATTGGGGCAGATTAGAAGTCACTGCAGGATAGACAATTATATCTTAGTAACAAGTGCTGCATGGTAAAGATTTTATGCAAGAGAAACCTCGTAACTTATAAAAGACTTCGATCTGTAAGAAAGTTTTAACTTTTTCACAGAAGATTTTGCAATCTCCCAACTGACAGATAATAATTTAAATTTCGGCCCCAAATTATAGTCTTTCTATCCATGCAATTTATCAAAATCATATATCAAACTTTATGAAGGAACCAGAGATCAAAAGCATCACTTCTAAAGGCAAAATATAATAAGCACTTCAAAAATAGATAGTCTATACAATAAGAAGTTCTAAAATACATATACATATAGTATACCAACGAATTACCCTATTTCCAAAGTGCATTCATCAAATGTCAATAAACTGTTAGCATGTAGGACATGCATTTAGTTTTTTGATTAACCACTCTCATGTTCAAGATGTGAATGAAGACCATAAGCCCCAGATTATCTATTGGCGATTAACATAAAAGATCATGGGTCCATCTTTCACACCAGTTCATTCCTTCCATTCTTTCTGTTTCATCAACTCTCACTAGCCAAGCAGAACATTAGAAGTGCTTCTTAACTTGGTCTGTTGAACAGAAAATTTTGACTTGGTAACTGCAATCAGATTTCGAGATCTAGCCCTGATAGAATTACATTAAGGCTGGATAAAAAGGTCCTCAGCTTGTTGGGGGTGGAGGTGGGGTTATCTAGAAATACATTGCATAGTACTTCGGCTACACCAGTTAAGGATTGAGATGCAGAATAAGAGAAACAAAAGAAGAAAGGATATATAGACTCTGGCGGTGATGCAGTGGATTTAGTTGCCATTGCCTCCATGATAAGAAGTCAAATTCAATCAGGTCAGGATAGACTAAGTTCATCATGACCTTAAAAATAGGCTACGCAGGGAACAGAATTGAATTATTGTTCTGCGTATTGTTTGTCTAAAATCAACATTAAGATCTTGCTCATCCAAATCGGATGGCAGAGATATTTAGGCCCCCAGAAACTGAGCAGATTGCTAACTTAAAATCTTCATATAGTAAGTAAGATATAATGGTCTTCAGCAATACAGCAAAGTGTTCTTGAAAACACACGCGTGAGCACAGCAAGAGAGAGAGAGAGAGAGAGAGAGAGAGAGAGAGAAGCACAGACAAACAAATGAAGGAGCAAAACTCTACGCAAAATCAACTCGAGCCGACAAATATGTTCCAATTTTTTATTTTTTTCTTGTTTGAGAATGCCAAAGCCAAAATAACTCGCATAAATTGAAAATGTCGTAATTTCTATCTACGTACATGTTAATAGTCATTTCTGCAGGCACAAATTATCAGGTGTGCCACATGCTATGGTCATCAAAAGCATTTGACCCAATATATCAAAATGGAGCAGTGTTCTACTGTCGATCAAAGAAAAACATTTCCTTGGCACAAAATACAAAAGCAGAAGGTACACTCCATCATAACATTTAAGCATAGAGTCACATGTCCACAATCATGATATAGTCAAATTTACACAATAAAACCTTGACCAATGCAAGAGATAATATAATTTAGGCATTAAATCAAGTATTATCACATATTATCAGTAATCAGGAGTCCAGAGCTCCAAATTCTCCCCAATTTCAGAAAAATATTCAAACTTTACCCGCGGGCCTTGAGCTCTGCAAGGCGCCTCGAAAGATCATCCTCGTCCACCTTTTCATCGCTTTTGGTCGCAATTGCATGAGCAGCTGGCTGGGGCAGACCCACGGACACCTCGAGACCGTAATCATCCGCCACTTGCTGCATAAGACTATTAACGTCACCTTCTGGAGTCGAAAGCGAAGTACTTCCAGCCATCGAGCTTTCCATGAACTCAGCCTGCACCTCCATGTTCACGAACTGTTGTTCAAATCGGTCCATAGTTTCAGACATCTTCTGCAAATTGCCAGTAGCTAGGGAGGACTCGAGCGATTTAACAATATTACCCATGGACTTGCTAATCGTAGTCATCTTGGCTTGGGTGTCGAGCCGGGCCACCACGGCGTCGAGCCGTGAGGCAAGCCGGAGGTAGTTCATCTGTTCGTTGCGTTTCCTAATGGAGTTTTCGGCGTAGATTCTCGCCCCGTCCATGTTCCCCTTTTCGATTGCCTTTTTGACCTTCAATTTCTCGGTTTTTTCGTCCTTTTCGCATTTGCGAGCCTGCCTCTGGAGGCTCTTCGAGGTGAATTTCAGATCCATGATCTGATTCATCAGTTTCTCAGTGTTACCCATATTCGATTTTGCAGAGAATTTTTACAGAGAGAGCTGAATTGTCTGCGATCAATTTGGGGTTGGCAAACAATAGGGTTCCATTTATTAATTTCAATTTTGGTTATCGAACTTTCATAGAAATTTCAATTGAATTATTTATTTTAATTATTTGCATTCAAGTCACTAAAGTTCAATAATGTTAAAATGTTAGCCATCGGGTTAACTCAAGCTAAGATGGCGAAGGGGACGGCAGAGCTGGGATGGGATTTCCCGCCCTATTTACTTGTTCTTGTTCATTTTAATAAAACATAGTATAAATTTAAACACATGAAAAATTACAAAAGAGGAAATAAGAGTCGCGGTGGGGACCTTGTTTCCTATCTTCGTCTTTTTCTCTAGTGGTCGGGACGAAGGTAGTTTACAATTCCTAACTAACCGATTCATCCTATTTGTTTAGGGAGGTTGTGTGGACAAAATTTTGGAGACCATTTTGTGAAAATAGCTGAAAGGGCAAGAACCCTACCATTTTCTCAATATGAATTTCGAGTTTGGGTGAGTTGTGGATTTAAACTTGCTAATAAAAAATAATGATTATGTACACTTTAGAACCCTTCATCTTCTGATTTTAAGAATTTAAGACGCGTGAATGATTCTTTATGTTATAAAATCAACGTATAAATCAAATGTGTATTTATTTTAGTAATAGAGTCATTGGAAGGACTAATAAGATATATTGAAGTTCAATTATTTAATCTCGAGCAAATTGAATTTGATTTACCCAATCAGGATTTCAATATAAGTTCAATGACCGAAATTACAATTAACCTCCTTCCCTTTTTCTTCGAAATTTGATTCGTTTTTAACGACTTTAGTAGTTTGTGGAGCGTTTTTTCTCCCCCGTGTGATATATACCTATGGGCGGCCTAAAGCGTTTTAGCATTAGAAGGTGTAAATAAATCCTCGAGTATTGAACCGAAATTTAGGTGATTCAGTATTAGATTGCAATTATGTTTTTACTTGAAGAATTTAAAATATTTATTATGTTGTAAATGGTAAGTTTATTAGGGTTTGTTAGTGAATGATAATTTCACCCCTGCAGCTCTAGAATTTATTACCATTGTATCCATAATTCTTATTAGGACTTTGGTTTTTAATAAAAACACACACAAATTTATTGACTTCTCTCTATTCTCTTCTCTTTTCACAACACGTTATCAGCACAATAGTTTAATTTTTCAAAGTTTAGTAAATGTGGTAATATTTTTTATAAGTATAAATATTTATCACATATACTAAAATTAATTTAGTGGCATGTGAATTCTTTCAATGTACATATACATCATAACTAGGTTGCTTATTCTTCTTTACCTTTCGTTGGTATGCATATTAATTTTAATTTACGTTTGTATGTATAATTTATACATATATTAATTCATGTCTTTTGATTCATGTATAACTAATTTTGTCAAATATTATTCACATATTAATTTTGTTTTTTGAGTCTTCCACATATTAGTTCTACATTTGATTTTTGTATATGTGGAATTTATATGCATGTTTAATATCTTTTGCATGTTGGAAAAAATTTAGCCAATTTTATTAACTTCTATGTATGGAGATTTTTTTCCTAATGCATATTTAGTAATTAATTTTTCTATATAAATTCATATCATGTTTATATGGCAATTAAATATTTTTAGATATTATTTTATAAGTTTTAAATTCATAATTTATTATGTTGTTGCTCCAAAAGTAGCAAAACATTATAATTAATATTCCAAAAAAGTATTAATTGTATATCTATCTATTATAAATAGTTGCTCTTGAAGTAGCACAACATTATTAATATTTTAAAAGAATATTATTTGCTTATAAAGAGCATGATGTTACGATTTCAATATTTTAGAAGAATATTGATTCAATGTTCTTGAAGAATCGTAATTTAAATTATATTTATTTTTAACAAATATAGTGTTGATGTTCTTAAAGAAACACAACCCATATTATATAAATATTCCAGAAAAATATTTCATTCGTACTTATGTAGAGTACAAATTTTAATATTATATTGTTTAGCTCAAAAATAGAACGAGTTGTTAATATCAATATTCCAGAAGAATATTTTATTTATACTCTTGAAAGTTATATGTCTCGTTGTGCTCCTGAAGAAAGCACAAATTAATATTAAAAAAATGTATTGATATTCCTAAAAAACACGACGTTATTAATATTTTAAAAAAGAATATTGATTGCTCCAAAAGAACATGATATTATAATTTCAATATTCCTGAAGTTATTGATTAATTCTATATAAAATAACGAATTAAATTACACTATTTATTTATGCGTCCATTCTTCTTTAAACGTATTTAAATATTGACATTCTGGTTAGATTTTATATCATTATACTCTTCTATAGCAATAATATGCTATTCCTCTTGAAGAGCATACCATTAAAATTCTTCATATTTCAAAAGAATATTGATTTATTTTTCTTGAAGTATTAGTAAAATATACTAAAATATTGAAATAGCACATTATAATTTTCATTAATATTCTAACGAGATTTTGTTTGCTCTCGAAGAGTATAATTACATACAACTGAGTATAAATTATATTCTTACTTCTGAAGAGTAAATTTTTGTATAATTTGAACTCTATTTTTGCCAAGAAAATACATTTTAAAATAGTGTAATGATATGAGATGTGTGGTTAAAAATAAAGAAAAGTTTTAAATTTACGTGTAATAATATTTTATTGAAAAATATGTGATTAAAATAATGTCGAAATACTGTTTAAAAATATTTTTTTTTTCAAAAAAATTGTACTCAAACAAGGGCTTACTCATTTGATCAAGCCAATTTTAAAATGCCCTTAAAAATGTAGCCCCGAGAAACGAAGAAAAAGGGTTTGCCGAAATGGGGAGAAGAATATTGAACGATGCCTTGAGAACCATCGTCAACGCCGAAAAGAGAGGCTTCGCTTCGGCGGAGCTTAAGCCCATCTCTAATGTCATGGCTTCTTTCCTTCAAATCATGAAATACCGAGGTACACGTATACATGTGCATCTATATATGTATGTATTTGTTATGTATATGTTCATTGATTTGTGATGTTTTCAATCAATGACCATGTTGTAAAATTGTTTATAAGCAAATGGGTTGGAATTAATTTTTTTACAATTTCTTGCAGTTTTTTTTTTTTTAAATTATATAAAGCTTGTTTGTATATAAAGTGTGCATATATGTACGGTGGATATATAATCGCTTATCCGTGTTGTGTCTTTTTAATTGATCTCAAAGATGAATTATAGCGAAATGGGTTTTGATTTTTACTTGTTCCTAAAAGATGGGCAAACGAAGAAGTGTGCACTGATGGATAAATAGCAGGGTATATCAAGGATTTCCAAGTGCATGATCCACATAGAGTGGGGAGGATAACTGTGGAGCTGCTGGGGAGGATTAATGATTGTCGGGCTATCACTTATAGACAGGATATCAAGGCTCATAACATCAAGAATTACAAAACAGACACGCTTCCTACTCATCAGGTTCTCTATTCATTGTTCTTGCCTTTGGTTTTATTGTGCTGATTGTTGTTGGGGCTGATCTGGGAGGGGGGATGATAAGTAGTGAACTGTGGTTTAATTTAGAATTTTGAGGATTTTGGTTGTATTTCTTGAGTTGAATCATCAGTCTAACGTGAACAAGTTCGATTTAATTTACTGCAAAACTCTAGATATGCCCAAATATGGCGTGTTAGAAAATTCCAAATCTTATTTTGTCGATGCACTAAAATTTTATTGATGATAAATTGTGTTATGTAAATTCAAACTAATCTATTCTAAATAATGTTTGCAAATGTGCAGTGTCATGGTTTCTCTATCTTAGTGCTATCTTTTGGTTGTAATTAATTAGGTTAGGTGTATTATCCTTTAAATTTTTTGTCGTAGAATGTGATTGGATGGTCAAACAGATTGTTTGGCTTTTTATTGTCAAGTTTATGTATCAAATTACAAAGATAGCTATTAAATCGTTAGCACTACATAAATACATTCCTCTTAAAGAAGCTGTTAATACAAATAAGAGAAACTCTGTTATAGCCATTTCTGTATATTCAAATTTAAATATACTCTATGGATAGAGGAATACGTAGAGTTGAACATAGTAAAATAAGATGTTCCGATCAAGATAATGCTATAAATGTGCCAAAAATTGTCTATCCTCCTGCTTTTTATAATTCACATGCATTGAAGGATTGAGCTTGTGAGTTATGAGACACTGATCCACCTGACTGGTTACTTACAGTGTCAGCAAATAGTGCAAGTACTCCCTATAACACGGTCTTCAGAAGTTTAAGGCTAGCTTATTGAAATTTATTAAACTAAGGCACTAGTAGTTGGGACTTCATGGAGAAGTACAGACAACATTTTATTTGACACCTCAGCGCTTCATATACGATTGCTATGTTAAACAACTCTTGCCATAAATATCTATGCATATCATGTTATGTTACCTTGAGTTTAAACTTTATGGCGACTAATGGGAATTAGTAAATATAGAATATAAAATAATTGGTTTGGGTGTATACATATTTCTTGTAAGTCAAGAAGAAAATTGTCCTAAAATTACATAAATGATGAATATCTAAGTTGCAAGGACATGTCGACTTACATTGTTCAAAATTTTAATTTTAATGAAAGATCAGCATAAAATCGTTTAATTTATTCGTCTTCTACTATTTTTCTCTTAAGCAGTGAAGAGAACTTAATGTGAAAACTGCGATAAATGTAAATGTATGTAGATTAATTCATACAGGTAACACAAATTTAAATTGATTTCATAATTGATGGTAAAGTTGTGTAGATAAACTCATGGGTACAAGCGGAATGTAAATGGACGTCCAGAATTGACAGTCAATAAATATAGATCAACTCATATGCGAAAAATATGAATGCAAATGGAATTCCAGATCAATTCATAGGGAACAGAAATTTATTTGTCCTCTCCTTATAAGTAAAATAAGCAAGCACCCAAACATGTTCCGGATCAAATGTATTGCTTTATAGTTTCCTTTCATCACCTTTATTATATAAATTTGTTACATTTATAAATAGTTGTCGTGTACTTGCAGAAGGTTACAGAGCAAATCAGTAAGACAATAAACTTTGTAATTTTCAGTTATACTTATTATTGCATAGTTCATGTCAACCACAAATTATGATAATGTTAATTCAATACTTTAACTTTTTGAAAACTTAAGGTTACAAACGGAGATAAATTTGAGATTCTTTGTCACATTATTCGTCAAAGTATAATTCCCTCTTTTTAATTATTGAAACAACAATTACCATAATTTTGGCTCAAAAGCTAGAGAGTCATGCTTTGTGTACTCTCCCCTAAGACCTCGGAACTATTTTTTTTAATCTTAAAATTAGTATTTGGAGTGCTTTACCACTCTGTTGTGAGTAAGACATGGAGTCCATGAAGCTAATTTTAGACTGTCATTGTATCGTGTCCATTTTTTCTTTTCACTTGAGCTGTCGTGGTTGTCTTTTGATAATGATTCATTGAGGAATTCCTTACACGCTCAAGTTCATTGAACACCCATTTACCTTGTCTCTGTTCTTCTCTTCGTGCAGTGGGGCTATGTGGTAATTACTACACCAAATGGAGTTTTGGATCATGAAGAGGCAATTAGACAAAATTTAGGTGGTCAAGTTCTGGGGTACTTTTATTAAATTTAGGGCCATGGCGTAAGCAAAGAACGACTTCCAATTTCCCTTTGGTTTTGTACATTTATTTGCTTGCTATGAGATCATGGAAGAACTATGAATGTCCTCGAAGCTTTCCTTGAAATGTCCTCAGGGAATGGTTTTGTACATTTATTTCCTTGCTACGAGATCATGGAAGAACTTTGAATGTCCTCGAAGCTTTCCTTGAAATGTCCTCAGGGAAAGACACTGGTGGTAATCATTTGTATGTCTTTGGTGTATATGAAATAACATTTCATTTGGAAACTCAAACAAGACTATTGCTACATTTTGGTTTTCCACCTGTTAGAATAGAGTTAAGATGACTTTTAAAATTCTTCTGTTAATGTTCGTCTGGTTCTTATCCAATTAAACGGTTGAAAGATGAACTTGTAGTTCGTAGGAGCTTTGTGCCATTTTGTTACAATTTGCTGCTATTGCATTGATGTCTGCTTGATGAAACTACTGTTGCTTTTTAGGTCTGACTAACATGATTTTGATTCTCTCTCTCTTTTTTTCCCTCTATTTATTTTTTATTTTTTTGGGAATATCATGTGGGTGCTACAAATCCATTTATATTTCTAGTTTTTTTTATAGAACAATTTTTATGATTTGAAGGAAAAAATATTTAACAGAAGAAAAGTGAGCGAGTGAAAGTCCTCTTACAAAATTCTTTCGACAAATATTTTATCGTTGCTTGCGAAGATACCATATTCAGCAAATATAGTCGTTTATGTGGCAAATATTACATGAGAATATTGATTCTTTTCTACTTCCATTGAGTAGGACGCATGAAAATCGTCCAAAGTAGCATAGTAACAATTTAGCAATGTAACATTGCACTAGTACATTACAAAATATGTTGATTGCTTCACACTTTCACAGTACAATGTACTAGTTAGAAATAAAGGGTTATTGAGAAGAGAAACCATGATCACGAGTTCAATTAAACCCGAAGAAACAGAAAAAATTTAGCCAGATAGACATCATGGACGGGTAGAAAGACTAGTTCCTGTAGGTAAGTATGAAATTTATTACTAGTGGTGAGAATAGTTATGCTATAGGGACAAAATGCTTGACAAAATTTTCACAGAGGAACACTCGGAAGTTTTTCATAAATTTTCGGCACAATAATAAAAGAAAATGCACCATACAGGTGCGAATAATTCCCAGTATGCAGGGAATCATTCTAGTGCGAAATGTCAGTCTCCTATTGTCCCATATGACGGAAAAAATTTGCTTGTAAACGGGTGAGAATTCTTCGTGACATTGTCGTAGAATCTATGACGACATGGAGTGAACAACTTCATGAACTGCTACTTGTCATAGAAAAAAAGAACCACCAAGTATCACAAGACAATCCCATTACCAAACAATACTGCAGATAACAGATACTGGGTACATCGCAAAATCCACAATTCTTGATACCAGAACTTTAAAGGAGAAAGAGTAGCCAGATTAAACACGATCTACTTAAACTACTACTGTTTAAAAGCATCATATATAAACAGCATAATAAAAGGAGCATATAGGTATGCTATAGACGGGCTAAGCACTAGAAAGATGAGAAGTGGGAGATATGAAAACAGAGAAAAACCAAATTTCTGATATCCAGATTTGTCCTTAAGGGAATTGTTTGATTGGGGCAGATTAGAAGTCACTGCAGGATAGACAATTATATCTTAGTAACAAGTGCTGCATGGTAAAGATTTTATGCAAGAGAAACCTCGTAACTTATAAAAGACTTCGATCTGTAAGAAAGTTTTAACTTTTTCACAGAAGATTTTGAAATCTCCCAACTGACAGATAATAATTTAAATTTCGGCCCGGCCCCAAATTATAGTCTTCCATCCATACAATTTATCAAAATCATAAATCAAACTTTATGAAGGAACCAGTGATCAAAAGCATCACTTCTAAAGGCAAAATATAACAAGCACTTCAAATATAGATAGTCTATACAATAAGAAGTTCTAAAATACATATAGATATAGTATACCAACGAATTACCCTATTTCCAAAGTGTATTCATCAAATGTCAATAAACTGTTAGCATGTAGGGCATGCATTTAGTTTTTTGATTAACCACTCTCATGTTCAAGATGTGAATGAAGACCATAAGCCCCAGATTATCTATTGGCAATTAACATATAAGATCATGGGTCCATCTTTCACACCAGTTCATTCCTTCCATTCTTTCTGTTTCATCAACTCTCACTTGCCACGCAGAACATTAGAAGTGCTTCTTAACTTGGTCTGTTGAACAGAAAATTTTGACTTGGTAACTGCAATCAGATTTCGAGATCTAGCCCTGATAGAATTACATTAAAGCTGGATAAAAAGGTCCTCAGCTTGTTGGGGGTGGAGGTGGGGTTATCTAGAAATACATTGCATAGTACTTTGGCTACACCAGTTAAGGATTGAGATGCAGAATAAGAGAAACAAAAGAAGAAAGGATATATAGACTCTGGTGGTGATGCAGTGGATTTAGTTGCCATTGCCTCCATGATAAGAAGTCAAATTCAATCGGGTCAGGATAGACTAAGTTCATCATGACCTTAAAAATAGGCTATGGCAGGGAACAGAATTGAATTATTGTTCTGCGTATTGTTTGTCTAAAATCAACATTAATATCTTGCTCATCCAAATCGGATGGCAGAGATATTTAGGCCCCCAGAAACTGAGCAGATTGCTAACTTAAAATCTTCATATGGTAAGTAAGATATAACGGCCTTCAGCAATACAGCAAAGTGTTCTTGAAAACACACGCGTGAGCACAGAGAGAGAGAGAGAGAGAGAGAAGCACAGACAAACAAATGAAGGAGCAAAACTCTATGCAAAATCAACTCAAGCCGACAATTATGTTCCAATTTTTTATTTTTTTCTTGTTTGAGAATGCCAAAGCCAAAATAACTCGCACAAATTGAAAATGTCGTAATTTCTATCTACGTACATGTTAATAGTCATTTCTGCAGGCACAAATTATCAGGTGTGCCACATGCTATGGTCATCAAAAGCGTTCGACCCAATATATCAAAATGGAGCAGTGTTCTACTGTCGATCAAAGAAAAACATTTCCTTGCACAAAATACAAAAGCAGAAGGAACACTCCATCATAACATTTAAGCATAAAGTCACATGTCCACAATCATGATATAGTCAAATTTACACAATAAAACCTTGACCAATGCAAGAGATAATATGATTTAGGCATTAAATCTAGTATTATCACATATTATCAGTAATCAGGAGTCCAGAGCTCCAAATTCTCCCCAATTTCAGAAAAATATTCAAACTTTACCCGCGGGCCTTGAGCTCTGCAAGGCGCCTCGAAAGATCATCCTCGTCCACCTTTTCATCGCTTTTGGTCGCAATTGCATGAGCAGCTGGCTGGGGCAGACCCACGGACACCTCGAGACCGTAATCATCCGCCACTTGCTGCATAAGACTATTAACGTCACCTTCTGGAGTCGAAAGCGAAGTACTTCCAGCCATCGAGCTTTCCATGAACTCAGCCTGCACCTCCATGTTCACGAACTGTTGTTCAAATCGGTCCATAGTTTCAGACATCTTCTGCAAATTGCCAGTAGCTAGGGAGGACTCGAGCGATTTAACAATATTACCCATGGACTTGCTAATCGTAGTCATCTTGGCTTGGGTGTCGAGCCGCGCCACCACGGCGTCGAGCCGTGAGGCAAGCCGGAGGTAGTTCATCTGTTCGTTGCGTTTCCTAATGGAGTTTTCGGCGTAGATTCTCGCGCCGTCCATGTTCCCCTTTTCGATTGCCTTTTTTACCTTCAATTTCTCGGTTTTTTCGTCCTTTTCGCATTTGCGAGCCTGCCTCTGGAGGCTCTTCGAGGTGAATTTCAGATCCATGATCTGATTCATCAGTTTCTCAGTGTTACCCATATTCGATTTTGCAGAGAATTTTTACAGAGAGAGCTGAATTGTCTGCGATCAATTTGGGGTTGGCAATCAATAGGGTTCCATTTATTAATTTCAATTTTGGTCATCGAACTTTCATAGAAATTTCAATTGAATTATTTATTTTAATTATTTGCATTCAAGTCACTAAAGTTCAATAATGTTAAAATATTAGCCATCGGGTTAACTCAAGCTAAGATGGCGAAGGGGACGGTGCAAGCAGAGCTGGGATGGGGCTTCCCGCCCTATTTACTTGTTCTTGTTCATTTTAATAAAACATAGTATAAATTTAAACCCATGAAAAATTACAAAAGAGGAAATAAGAGTCGCGGTGGGGACCTTGTTTCCTATCTTCGTCTTTTTCTCTAGTGGTCGGGACGAAGGTAGTTTACAATTCCTAACTAAAACCAATTCATCCTATTTGTTTAGGGAGGTTGTGTGGACAAAATTTTGGAGACCATTTTGTGAAAATAGCTGAAAGGGCAAGAACCCTACCATTTCCTCAATATGAATTTCGAGTTTGGGTGAGTTGTGGATTTAAACTTGCTAATAAAAAATAATGATTATGTACACTTTAGAACCCTTCATCTTCTGATTTTAAGAATTTAAGACGCGTGAATGATTCTTTATGTTATAAAATCAACGTATAAATCAAATGTGTATTTATTTTAGTAATAGAGTCATTGGAAGGACTAATAAGATATATTGAAGTTCAATTATTTAATCTCGAGCAAATTGAATTTGATTTACCCAATCAGGATTTCAATATAAGTTCAATGACCGAAATTACAATTAACCTCCTTCCCTTTTTCTTCGAAATTTGATTCGTTTTTAACGACTTTAGTAGTTTGTGGAGCGCTTTTTCTCCCCCGTGTGATATATACCTATGGGCGGCCTAAAGCGTTTTAGAATTAGAAGGTGTAAATAAATCCTCGAGTATTGAACCGAAATTTAGGTGATTCAGTATTAGATTGCAATTATGTTTTTACTTGAATAATTTAAAATATTTATTATGTTGTAAATGGTAAGTTTATTAGTGTTTGTTAGTGAATGATAATTTCACCCCTGCAGCTCTAGAATTTATTACCATTGTATCCATAATTCTTATTAGGACTTTGGTTTTTAATAAAAACACACACAAATTTATTGACTTCTCTCTATTCTCTTCTCTTTTCACAACACGTTATCAGCACAATAGTTTAATTTTTCAAAGTTTAGTAAATGTGGTAATATTTTTTATAAGTATAAATATTTATCACATATACTAAAATTAATTTAGTGGCATGTGAATTCTTTCAATGTACATATACATCATAACTAGGTTGTTTATTCTTCTTTACCTTTCGTTGGTATGGATATTAATTTTAATTTACGTTTGTATGTATAATTTATACATATATTAATTCATGTCTTTTGATTCATGTATAACTAATTTTGTCAAATATTATTCACATATTAATTTTGTTTTTTGAGTCTTCCACATATTAGTTCTACATTTGATTTTTGTATATGTGGAATTTATATGCATGTTTAATATCTTTTGCATGTTGGAAAAAATTTAGCCAATTTTATTAACTTCTATGTATGGAGATTTTTTTCCTAATGCATATTTAGTAATTAATTTTTCTATATAAATTCATATCATGTTTATATGGCAATTAAATATTTTTAGATATTATTTTATAAGTTTTAAATTCATAATTTATTATGTTGTTGCTCCAAAAGTAGCAAAACATTATAATTAATATTCCAAAAAAATATTAATTGTATATCTATCTATTATAAATAGTTGCTCTTGAAGTAGCACAACATTATTAATATTTTAAAAGAATATTATTTGCTTATAAAGAGCATGATGTTACGATTTCAATATTTTAGAAGAATATTCATTCAATGTTCTTGAAGAATCGTAATTTAAATTATATTTATTTTTAACAAATATAGTGTTGATGTTCTTAAAGAAACACAACC